CCCATCCTGCCAGATGGACAGCAAGGACACTGAAAGGCTGAGATACCAACTTTGACAACCAAACTGACCTTGGGCTGAGATAAGCTGAAGACAGAGAACAACCCCAAAAACAGAAGCTAGGTATGGAAGCCCCCCAAAGCACTGAAACAAAGGATGCCAACCCCTATAAAAGAAGACTTTGAAAATACCAAGTTGGATGAGTCTCTCTCTTAACTGCTGTTTCACTCTGCTCCAAGCTGTTATCTACAGGATCTCTCTCTCACAATAACCACCCTGCCTGCTAGCTGCATCTTCTCTCAATAAGGCCTGGGCCAGCCACCCAGTGCTATTATTGAACAACTGCTGCTGGTAACTACAATGTCTGAATGAAATGGTTGTTTTGTGTTTGTGTGTGCCTGTGTGTAAGTTTTGTGCATGACAATTAGCATGTCTATATAAGTGGTGTGTCCAAACCACTGTGTCTAATTCATGCAATAAGTAAATGCGGCATTTTGCCTTATCCCCCTTTATAAAGTCTTGCTCTTGATTTGGCAATTGAAATTTAAAGTAACACAAGCAAGCTCCCTAACAAACACCCCCTTGCTCTGCTCTCTTGTTAAATAAGGGGCTTAAGTCTTGGTCTAGCTGCTGAGATTTAGCTGCTAAATTAAAACTATGTAGGTTAGTCAGTATAATTACACATAAAAAAAAGAAACTTACTTTTCAGACTCCCCTACAAAGAGAGGGGCAGCAAACTGACCAGACAACTGCTTGCAAACTGTCCTGTTTGCTTCTCCCTTGTTGCTTGGACTGTCTCCTTATATCTTTCTCCTGGACCTGTTAGGGCCCTTTATTAGGGCCTTTTGTCACGCCCAGGCAGCAGTCAATCAGCAATCAGTCCACTCAACTGCTCAGAGCACACACCTAGGCACTCAAACCCACCAACCAGCCCTCAGCAAGCCAAACACACAGGCAACCCTGGCTCAGTTACCGTCCCAGAGCAGGATCTGGTGCCTGGTTCCTCTTCCCCTTCCTCCTCTTGCTCTCTATGAACTGCTTGCAAATTGTCCTGTTTGCTTCTCCCTGTTCACTGCTGGGTGGTCAAGACAAGCAGTATTTTCCTTCTTGCAAGCACTGCGTTCAAGGACTTAAAACAAAAATAAGTTTATGGGTGAAAGAAGGGAAATGGTATCAACTCAAAGTCAATTCTTCAACATTAGGTGAGACTCCCATCTCCAAGGTGCTTCAGCAGCATAGTTCTCTCACAGGTGTGAGCAACTGATGAGGTAGCTACCTGCCAAGCATTACCTTCCTCCCCTTATTCCAGCCCACTCTCAGTTGTTTTCTAGGTCTGGAGGAATCCAGATCCTGAGCAGGTCCAGCTCTCATCCCTAAGAGATGTCCTTTTTCAGAGACTCTGTCACCTTTCCCAGCTGGACTTATAAGAATTTCAACCTCTAGAACACCACGTTATGTGGCATCATAATCTGTGCTAAACACGGGAGCACAGCCTGATGGAAAGAGTAAGCTTTCTTTATCCCTCTATATAAATACAAGAATTACACTTGTTAAAATGTGCATTTGGGTAAAACCAGTGAGATTTGATTTCACAAGCAGACTTTTTGTCATTGTGACCACTCAGTTTATTTGATTTCCCACCCTTTCTAATAACTTCATTGAGGTGCACTCCCATTTTTCAGAGGGAAATGGGAATCCTTTATGCCCAAGTCAGACTATTCACAAAGCATTCTGTAGCTCAAGTAGATGTGTTCCCAAACGGTTCACATGTCCAATCCAGTAAGTCATCTAGGCATAGAATTGCTCTTGAAGTCAAGGGGAATTGCTCTTGAAGTCTACGTATAAGAACTTGTTCCCCAAAAGCATCCAAGTTATATGAGTCTCCACCCCCACGATAACAGTCCAAGGACCTACTTCAGTTCCTACTGCAGTCAAAGGCAAAACTCCTATTGTCTTAGGTTGTACAGTCTTAAGACCTAGGAGGACTACTAGGTTGTTATTGACCAGAATACAATACTGTCAATGGAAATATAAGAATATATACATTTATTTAAAATGCAGAGATATTTGTTTTTTAAACAAACATACATTATGTGAAGAATCATGGGAAAAAGGGCTTCTGGAGGCATAAAATGACTGAAACAGATTGATTATTAAACTGTAAATAAACCTCAACCTCAACTGTAAATAAACCTCAACTGAAAAATATTTTCAAGTCTACCAATTATATGGTACACAATATTTTTTATCCTGCAAATATTGATTTGTTTTCCCTGTGTTTCAATAGAGCTGAAATTAGCTGACTGTCACTATTTGTTGTTTAAAAGTAATAACTTTAGCATCTCTGGTGCTTTATTCATGCCAAGAATGCAGCACCAGAAAATATTCAGATAGAATATTCTGACAGAACTAATATTTTGGACAGATTTATACCTTTTCAGTTTTTTCTCAAGCTTTTCATGGGATAGGCTGGTTTTATTAGAAATCATATCTAGAAAATTCATGATTTTTCCTCAAAAATGGATTTTTAATTAAAAATCAGTTTGGGGATCACTGGCCATGTCTACACAAGTATTACACAAATTGTCAATTGCTCAAATCACAAGCAAGACTTTATAAAGGGGGGTAAGGAAAAGTGACGCGTTTATTGATTACAGGAGTTAGACATAGAGGTTCAGGCACATGGTTCATACAGACACACACACATCATCATACACATCATTACACACAGGCATACACATACACAGAACAACCATTTCATCCACACATACACCAGATATAGTTACCAGCAATAGTTGCTCAATATCAGCCCAGGGTGGCCAGCCCAGGCTTATTGAGTAGATGATGATGATTTGAAGATAGCAGATTTAAAGATAACAGCTGGAGTGGGGTGAACAGATGCATCTATGCTCCGATGAAACAGCAGTAGAGAAAGAAACTCACCCAAC